CAAGCAGTCACTGCAGGGTCAGCAATGACTGAGCGCAGACAAAAAAAAAAAAAAGAAAGACTCAGGGATCTTTATCTTAAGAGAATTTTGAGTCATACCAACTAATTTATTAATGATGTGGTATGATGTCCTTTGATTGATTGACTATGTGCCATCAAGTTGGTGTCAACTCTTAGTGATCGCATAGATTTTCTCCATGATGATCTGTCCCTAACCTGGTCTTTCAGGTCTTCCAAAGATACATTCATCACCACTGTAACAGAGAACTTCCAACTTGCTGCTGTCGTTCTCTTCTTGTCTTTCCTTCCACCGTTCCAAGCACTATAGCCTTCTCTAGAGAGCTAGGTCTTCATATAATGTGTCCAGAGTACGATATTTGAGCCTTGTCATTTGTGCCTCAAGTGAGAATTCTGGGTTGATTTGCTTGATGATCCATTGGTTTGTTTTCTTGTCTGTCCATGGTATTCTCCGGAGTTTTCTCCAACACCAAAGTTCAATACTTTTCCTTTCCTCCTTCTTCCAAGTCCAACATATATATCTATATCTCCAAAAGTAATGAAAATAATTTAGAAGGTTGTCAGTGACTCTGAGGTAAGACATTTTTTTTTCTTTGCAGTGGACCTTACCTTGGATCCCAAAACAGCTCATCCAAGACTGAAAGTATCTGAAGATGGGAAAAGTGTGAAGGACACTGGAAATATTCATGATGTCTCTAAGAGTAAAGAGAGATTTGAGTCCCATACATTTGTCTTGGCAAAACAATTTTTTTCTGAAGGCAGATATTACTGGGAAGTAGAGGTTGACCAGAAAAATATGTGGGATTTAGGTGTTACATCTGAATCTGCTCCTAGAACAGGGAAGATCACATTGTCTCCTCAGAATGGTTACTGGGTCATAGGGCGTGATAATGGGAAAGATTACTGGGCTCGGACAGACCCTTGGACATGTCTGAATATGCCAAGAAAGCCAACAAGAATAGGGATATTCCTAAATATGAAAAGCCATGAAATTTCTTTTTATGATGCTCCGAGGGAACATAAACTATATACCTTTCTCAATGTTGCTTCTGGGAAATTGTATCCTTTCTTCTCAACAGGTTCTGTAATAGGAGAAGAATTTGATCGTGGGACACTGATAATCCCACCATGGTTTGAAGGAGAAGAGGTAGTGGAAGAAAATGAAATAAATAATTAGGGCAGATTTTAGTTTAGACAGGCTTCTTACTGTCCTTATTAAAGAATGAAATCCACAAACTGAGACTGATGATAAAATCTATCCAGTGTACATAATGTGGAATACATTTTCCGTGAAGGCATTTACAATTTTAACTCCATAATTCATGTGCTAAAAACACGATGATATACTTACGGTATTTTATAACATACAGTTATCCCATTCTTAGATTCATATTGATACATCAGGTTTTATTATGAAATGTAAATATATGTTCCTTTTTTATTTCAGTTAGCTGCAGTTTCCATAGCCTTAAATTACCGTAGTTTTGATTATAGAACGTTTGATTACAACAGTCAAATAAGGCAATTCTTTTATTAATGTTCGGTATTGCTTGTATAACTTATATAACCTTATAACTTTTTCTTCCTCTGTAAATTTTTAATATTGCAGCATTGCTAACAATTATTGACTGTAATATTAAACACTGGTCCTGAAATAAATATGTTATATTAATGTACTGGCTAAAGAAAGTAGCAAAGATGAGAGCTATTCAGATATATAGATCAGAATGCAATGAGGCATTACTTACCACTTGATCCCAACCATGTGCCATCTACCAGATGTTTTTAACCAGCCAGGAGGGGCACTGCCCCAAGACATAGGTGGAACAGCTCACACCCCCAAGGACCCTGTCCACTTCCTTGGGAGTAATTGGCTCAAACTCTTCCCCGATCACTGAGCAAAGATGTGCCCCAGCCACTTCCAATGGACCTGCCTACCCAGTGTCCAACTCCGAGTGAAGTTGAATGACTTTATCCAACAAATGCCAAGGGTATTCCTCACAGCAGCCCTGCAAAGGCTACCCTAGTCCCTCCTTGCTCAGAAGGGTCCTGGTCACCCTAAACAGGCTGCTGGCTGGTTATCTGCAGATGCAGTAAGAACAGAGAAGGAAGTTCGCTTCCCTGCTCTTATCTCCCCAAGGTAAGTCCTAAGAAAGGCTCTTACCTGTGCTTGGTTGGCTCCACCCTTATATCAATGGCACTCTATGCATCTCTACTTTGTCATTTTCGCATCATCACATTTGTACTGTGCATTTATTTCTTAATTAAAAGGAAAGAAATGGATGGGGCTTTTATCTATAGATTGACATGCAAGAGAACAGATTCAGGAGACTGCCAATACAGTAGCAAGTTTCCTTTTTTGAAAAGTAGGAAAAATCAATGATTAAAAACACAGGTAAAACTAATTCGTGTTTGCTAAAACACATTTCCCGCAAAAGAAGGACTGTTCAGGCCAGGAAAAAAAATTATTCTTGACCCTAAATTCAAGGCAGAAGTTGGATTTGAGTTTCCAAAAACAAAACCAGTATCCTGAAGTCCCAGTTTTCTGCTCCAACACTGAAAACGAATCTTAATGAGCAAATGAATTGGCTATGACAGCAGAGGAGACAAGATCTCCTTGTCTCCAGAAAGACATTATGGAAGGCAATCTGGTAAGGCTTGGAGAAACACTCATATCTTAAAACATATTTTTTTTAAAAAAAACATAAACTAAGTCCTAAGAAAGGCTCTTACCTGTGCTTGGTTGGCTCCACCCTTATATCAGTGGCACTTAAATAAAAATCAGGAGAGGACTGGCAGATGTCAAGGAAAGTTTTTCCAAAGACACAGATTCACTATGGAGTTCTATTAAGGGCCTCAACTTCGTAGGTGTCAGTTGCTACCATAATGATGTCAAAATGACAAAACATTGATTGTGACGTCACAGTGCAAGCTCCAACCTTTCATACTTCTGTCACAGTGTCACATGCAGTAGCAGTATTTTTATTCATGGTCATTGACCTGTCAGGAGTAGCTTATAGAAATACAACAGAA